ATAATATTTAGTGTATCACCTCAGTTTTATATTATTGTTATTCAATGTAAACAACAGTAGATAAAATCACAAAATGTTTGTTTACGTAGCAGTTTGAAGAAGTTTACAGGGCGTTTAACTTATTCATATAACTCTCTATCCTATCGATCTATTATTTACATATGGTTTACTATTACATAAATATTTTTTTTTGATCAATTTTGTGAAATGTATCGTAAAATCAACAATATATATACAAAATTTTAACGTAGGATCGGGTTTTAAGTCGCACAAACAAGTTAAAGGTCATATGGCGACTTTCCAGCTTTTATTGGTGGAGCAAGACCTCAGGTGTCCCTCCATCTATTATTTCATGCACCAACGGGTACCTTAGAAGAACCACCGACGTTCCGTAAGCTAGCTGGATAACTTCCTCACATGAAAATAATACAAGGTCCCCGGCGGGATTCGTGGCGCAAGTGGTTTGAAGGCAGCAACCTTAAGCTTATCCATTCGGCCATGGACGATCCTAACAATACACACATGTGTATGATTGATTATCAATCTTCAATGAATGTCTTCTATTATATTTAGAACTTGTTTTATTTTTGTTATAGTTGGAGTCGTCTGGATGTAAGCCAATAGGTTGTCAAATGGATGTAAGATCTCTGGCGTGTGGGTTACTTCCAGATTAAGCAACGCTATTGGATAGACTGCGGTAAACCAGGTAATAGGTATGTAAAACCTTCACACAATCTTATTTATTTATTTGTTTATCTATTTATGTATTTGGTTGGTTGCTTAATTGATTGATTAATTGATTGAATGAATGAATGAAGAAATGATTGATTGATTGATTGATTGAATGAATAAATGATTGATTGATTGATTGATTGATTTGATTGAAGGCTGGGGAATCTCGGATAGTCAGCAAAGTTTTCAGACAGTCCTCCTCGAAAGTTTACATACTTACAAAGATACTGATGTTTTAGACGTTAAAAATGGTCAATACGTTAGTGTATATATAGGACTGGCTTATAAATATGGGTTTTTTTTACAATGCCAGTTGTTTAAGGATGCCCTTGTTCTGAAGCTTATAGAAACGAGAAATATAGAAATTGTTCTTGTAAAATAAATCGTTTCTACTGGATAAATTGTAAAATACATATTCTTAAATGTGACCCAGAGAGGCTGGTTTTTTAATAGGACATTTTCTTATCTTGAGGTGCTACTAAGTATACATTAAAATGAATATAAATAATGTAAATCTTTCAATTTTTAAGCTGTTATGTTTCAGACTGGAAATCCTGCTCGAACGACATAAACTGCTCATCCAAGTGTGTCCAGCAATACATGAAAAGATACGCCACCCACTACCGTTGCCCCCTTAATTGTGAGGGCTTCGCTCGAGAACACAATGGTGGACCTAATGGCTGTCATAGCAGTAGTACCTTGAATTACTGGCAACAACTACAGACAATCCCCGGATGTAAAGGGGTGAATTAATCGTAATTGCTAACAACTATAATGAGTTGATAGAGATCATCTATTTGGACACCGGAAGCCTTTATAAGCTGTACTAAATAAAGTTTTATGCATTTATATATCTATTTCTTTCAAATGTCCGTCCATGTGCATTCGATGTTTATAGAAAATAAAATGTCATATTTCAGACGTTGTTCAGTTTTAAATAGTACGAAACTTCTCTTCATGACGTGGCGATATTCTCTTGTTTAAATACAAATTTGCCCATGTTACACTTTAATTCATCTGTTTTCTTCCGAAAACCTGAAAACTTGGGGCTAATGCATCACAGCAATAGGGGTTGATATGTCTTGTTTATTTGATATAGCGTCCTTTCAGTTACCGGTCGGTCTGAGTTAGTCACTTATTGACATCTAATAAGATAATGCCCTCCTGAAATAATTTACTACATGAGATTGCGTTGATACTTTTTGAAGTAATTTGGAAAGTACGTTGTTACTTCATGCTCATTTTTACTTAAGGTTTTTGCCATTATAGTTTGTTCACCAGTTGGTGATATTATCTAATATTTCAGTTTAATGTTACCGATATGTTACCACCAGGTGTTCAACGATATCAAAATGTTCTAAAAAATTAACTTTATTCAAAATAATCATCGGACCTTGACATATTAGCCAAAAAAAACTTGCAAATAACTTGCTACAAATTATGCAACTTTACAGAAGCACATTAAGACTTAACGCTCTTTATTTTTCATAGTTTTCCTAAATGCATTTACGTAAGCTGATGGTCATGAAACCGTGGAAATGAGCCGCGTCATGACAAAACAAACATAATGGGTTTGCGACCAGCATGGATCCAGACCAACCTGCGCATCCGCGCAGTCTGATCAGGATCCATGCTGTTCGTTATCAGTTTCTTTACTTGTTATAGGGTCTGTAAGCGAACAGCATGGATCCTGATCAGACTGCGCGGATGCGCAGGGTGGTCTGGATCCATGCTGGTCGCAAACCCATTATGTTGCTTTTGTCGTGACGCGGCTCAAATATTTCGTTATCGGCGAGGTCTTCTCTTTGGTTTATACAGAAATTATTTTAGTTCGATTGTGTAGGAAGCTATAAGCTTATAGACACACTTTTGAATCCGTTCCTGGAACCAACCAGTACTGAGCAATGAGTATAAAGTTCCTTGCGCAAGGAAACAACGACTTGCCCTTGACGGGGTTTGAACCCTTTTTTGTACAGTATTTTTTTTTAAAGTAAAGTCTATTTCATGGTTGAAATTTCATATGATAACTTCGTTGTTATGGATTTTAACGTTTTGATGCAGTGCCCCAGTTTCCAGGTTTTCGAAAGGGTATAATGAATGGTGCTATATATCAATTATATTTGTAAATGACATACATACAAATTAATTATATAAACAACTCATTAGTTAAATTTACTGAAAGCTGAAGGAGTCTAAAATAAAGCCGTCTTGCACATGCGCGTACTCTAAAGTCAATCTGTGATATATAAAATATACTAGAACTTTCATATCCATTCTCTGGGGAAAAAAATGTGTAGAAAGCTATAAGCTATAGTTATAGTGGTTTCAACAGTCTTTGGTTTGTTACACAAGTTGTTAGTAACATCAAAGCAGATCAGTATCAGTATTGTTTGCTGCAATGTTGCTTTATTTCGAATTTTATAGCATCAAAGCCGGCCAGAGAAGATACTCTTTGGCTTTCATAGCTTTCTGCCCAATCCCAAAATATATTGTGTAAATATTTAAGAAGGCGGTTCAGCCGAAACGTTGGTATATTAAAGGGAATTATAGAATTTGCAGTTGACTATTTTTTCTATCTAATTTAAATATATCGAATAAATATGAGCTGCGTCACGACAAAACAAACATAATGGGTTTGCGACCAGCATGGATCCAGACCAGCCTGCGCCTCCGCGCAGTCTGATCAGGATCCATGCTGTTCGCTTACCAACCCTATTACAAGTAGAGAAACTGATAGCGAACAGCATGGATCCTGATCAGACTGCGCGGATGCGCAGGCTGGTCTGGATCCATGCTGGTCGCAAAAGCACTATGTTGGTTTTGTCGTGACGCGGCTCATATTTATTTTTTATATAATGATGGGAATAATCAATAGAAGCTGCGGAAATGACGTCGTATTTGTAAGCGAACAGCATGGATCCTGATCAGACTTTGCGGATGCGCAGGCTGGTCTGGATCCATGCTGGTCGCAAACGCATTACGTTGGTTTTGTCATGACGTGGCTCAATTATAATTGTGGTCTATCTCCTCCACCTCTGCGTAATTTTGGTCTATCTCCTCCACCGGGTGTAACCGCCACAGAGAGGTTCAGGGTATCGGCAGAATATTTCAATATCTGGAAAAAGTAATCCCTCGGGTCAATCAAATCCGCAAAATTACATGAAAATTGCAGACTTGGTTTGATTGAGTCTGTACATATGGGATAATGAAATAGTGCAACATCCCTCAAGCTTCCTAGCACCAGTTTCAGCGGTACTCAATTCTCAACACTTAAAAGTTCCCGAATGACCAGAAAAGCATAACAATACTGACAACATTCGATTCTGCCCCTCATTAGATCCTGTTCTTGCAAAATCTAACCGAATCAAGTTCCAGATCATAAACTTTATGATGTATGAAAAACAAGATCAACAAGGAAGGGCGGCGTTCAATGAACGCAATTGCCATATTTTAAAAGTGATACTTACAAACTATTCGGCTTAAAATAAAAAAATAAATATTGTTGTTAGCTTGCAAACGTAGGATTATTTTTTATACGACAAGAATATATTTTTGTTATTTGTATAGTTTATGAAATTCCGTTGTTAAAATCTCAACATCTACTTGTCATTGCCAAATAAAATTAGCTGGTCAGATTGCTTCAGATACTTTTTTCTTACTAAATTATTAACAATAAAGCATTAGAAATGTACTATATTTGCTTTCAAACAAGTCATGACATCAAAATAAATATGAGCCGTGCCATGACATAACCAACATAATGGGTTTGCGACCAGCATGGATCCAGACCAGCCTGCGCATCCACGCAGTCTGATCAGGATCCATGCTGTTCGCTTACCGACCCTATTACAAGTAGAGAAACTGATAGCGAACAGCATGGATACTGATCAGACTGCGCGGATGCGCAGGCTGGTCTGGATAAACCCATTACGTTGGTTTTGTCGTGACGCGGCTCATATATTATTTCAAACTTCACTAATAGGATCTCGAAAACTGTTCTGTAAAGGGCAACTCTTTTGCAAATTACTTTATATGATTAACTGATAGGCTGAAATGTTTATGTGAAGTTCATAATATTGCCATCGGTATAAAACCTTTGATATATGGCAATTTAAAAATGTTAGCATATTCCTCAGTGAAAAAAATTAGGCGGCAATTATCTCAAAATAAGTGTAAATTTCGACGAACTAGACAGAAATTGATACCAAAACGTATTGTTTCGCACTTAATATTATATACCTCGATGTCCCAAAACGCAGCAATTGCATTATAGTGATTATATAACAAAAGTTCACAGTCTGCTTAAACTAAGAATTATTCATCACCTTTGTTTTAAAATATCAAAGAGGGCTGTCAATTATATAATTGCTAAATTTTGATGATTGAAAAATATTTGAGCGACTGCTTTGGCTGATAAATGGTGCACACTAACGCGGCCTATTTTACTTTCATGTTTCACGCAAACATCGAAAGGCTTAGACCCATATCTTTGACGCGGACTCGTTAACCGGAAGGAAAGTTTTCTTTTATTGTTGCTACTTTTTGCTACTTTAATATTTTAACAATGGATTCTACGAAGGAAAAAAGAACCCTAAAGGAGGTTTTAAAGGAACTGGCCGAATCGAGCGCCTTGCATGGCATTCCAAAAATTGCTTCGTCACGGCAACTTTCGGTGAAGATATTATGGTGCATTGTTGTACTTGCTGGGACGGGAGTGATGACATACCAACTCGTGGAATTATTTCAGTAAGTATTTAATAGTTTTGTTTATTTTCTAACTAAATATGATTAATTTTGTATGAAAAATGTTGCCGTTTCCTTCGTTAATCCATCGCCGGTTACCCATGGTTGATTTACATGTAATCAATGATAAATATTAATGGTTCGGCCGTGATTATCCAACGATGTCGTTAATCTTAACTTACAATAAATTTAAGGAAGTGTTTTGATTAACTTTCCTTCATCAAACTAATCAGGATAGGCGAAAAATCCCAGAATGATTTATAAACATTATGCGGTTTTTAAACTGACAAAATTTCCTTACAACGGGTTCGTATGTTGTTTGACTTCTTGTAAGCATTTTAGCTAGAATTATACACCATGAAAGTCCCCGAAATATCTTCTGTTCACTGAGAGAAAATAATGATATGGCCTTTCTTCAGAGAGCTATCTGTTCTTTAACATTTTTTCTATAGATAATTGATGATCATTCATCAAACAGCACTTAGATTGGGGTCCTTCGTAAATCATATGAATATATTACTTTTATTCTATGCTGATATATTACAAGACACGCCATCCTTTAAAAAATCATGACATGAATGCCAACTTTGTGGTTGTTGTTTTTTGCAGGACATTTTATTCAAACCCTATACAGACGACCGTTTCACTGGATTTCAGCACGCTTCAGTTTCCCGCCATTTCTATATGTAACATGAATCCAGTCAGAAAATCAAAGATAGGAATGTCTATCGCGTTGGTAGAGGAACTATTTCCAAAGGTACAACAAGTTTGATGTACAGTAAGGGCCGGCTCGAATCTAAATTGAACACAAGCATTGTCGCTTCATTTGAATAAAATTTTGCACCGTTCTTTCTTTAATTAAGCTACCAGTAAAATTGAAAACAACGATAAAATTGATGAAATATATAAAATTCGACTATAAATTTTTCGTAAGCGGCAATATTTCTCGTCAGTAAGAGAGAACACCATTTTCCTTAAATAAATAATACTTTATATTTTCAGAAAGAAAAGCGTACAGATTCACTAGTAGCAAAAAAGGAACGCCGTAAACGGGACACTTCAGAAAACATCGATAAAAACTCAACGTGTGTACTTTTATATAAATTAGTCATGATTGGCTTTTTATCTGACTGATTACACGGCACTTATTGTATACTATAACTATATTAAAGTTATATAAAAGAATGGGACTATAGTAAAGTTATATAAAAGAATGGGACGTTAAAGCATTGCATGCCTAATTCTAAATTAAACATCATTTAAAAAAAAATATTTTTGAGGGGACGTGCATGTGCAGAAGCTATCGTTTACCACTACTGCCCATGAACAGTCCAAATTCAACCCAGTCTTCTATATCTTTAACTTTGCCGTGTTGGGCGTTATTTAGGTTTTTCATTGATTTGATCTGTTTTATTGGTTCGATTGAACATTACAATTGAACGTTACACTTGTCCGTCCTTTTAGAAACTTGACATCATATTATATTATAATGGCATAATACATTTAATAATAATATATATCAAATATAAAAATTTACAGAATAGAGCAAAGCAAACTTTGTATTTTATTAAATAAATATGATGACAAAGGGAACAATATAAAATGAGCCGCGTCAAGACAAAACCAACATAATGGGTTTGCGACCAGCATGTATCCAGACCAGCCTGCGCATCCACGCAGTCTGATCAGGATCCATGCTGTTCGTTATAAGTTTTTCTACTTGTAACATGGTTTGTAAGCGAACAACATGGATCCTGAGCAGACTGCGCGGATGCAACTATGTTGGTTTTGTCATGACGCCGCTCAAATGTTACTTTTTCATCTCTGTTTTGCCGCATGTTTCATCATATCGGCATCTACAGGAGAAACTTATTTTCAGATTGATCTACAGTGGTATGGGTTTACCAGATGATACTAAAATAATCGATGCAACTTTAGCTTCCTGGGGTGTTGCAAGTGTGGACATACTGATATCGAGGCTGGGAGGAGATCCTTATAAAGTAGATGACACCTATATCGAAATACGTCGGGAATATAAAAACTCTTACCCAATGTATTCTTGGTCGATCAGTTATCCTCCTAAGAAGGATAATGCAAATGAAATACCTGTGACTGAGGAAACGGATTATATTGACACAACGCCAGAACATGAAAATGTCTCCGATAGTAATATAACAGTCGACCCGTTCATTAATGACACCACAACGCTAGAGCCAGATCTGTTAGATAATGCAGGTAAAAGTGCAACAGCAAGTTGGGCCGACCTTTATGAATGGGATAGTGATATTGGTTGGGATATATTTGATTCTGATGAAGTTGACGACTATTTCGAATCAGAAAACTTCACGTCGGGCAAGGAAACTTTACTGAGCAAGCCGATTGCAAAGTTCCTGAAAGATCCAAAGGACAAATGGGATCTTGTGATAACAGAATTCAGGACTGCATTCCGAGATATTCCACAGTAAGTGGGACTTTCTGTTTTTGATACTTTTTGATAAAGACGTTTCACAAAAGACACGTTAAGACATTTAAGACACACATGTACAAAGAATAAACTGACCGTCTTTTGCTGTTTGACATTTGGTCAGATCGTTTTGTTTCCGATGATTCGTGTATTGTGTCTACAAACTATTGTAAACATTATTGAAGCATCTCAGTCTTTTGTCAAGTAGTAATCTTGACTTTAAGCATGTCTCAGTTATTATCTCAGAAATTTCCTTCGTGTTGAACTTATAATCGAAAGATTTGTAAAACTAGTGTTTATTCTTCCGATCACGAGTGGTAAAATAATGAAAATAAATTGTAAAATATTTAGATAAATGCGCTGTTTTATAATAGAGTAAGCATGAACAATCATAATATTCATCAAGAACGATGATACCGTCATTTGCAGATATAATGTTACGTGTATAAAGTGAAGGTTATGTTTTCCAGGAAAAAGCGCAAGATTATGGGGCATCAGATCAAGGATTTTATCCAGTATGTGTCGTTTGCAAAAAGGGAGCAGAATATAAAGTAAACTATTTTATAATTTATCTTTTATTTATATCTTATATAAAATTATATTCCATAAAACAAGACTGAAATAATTCACGCCAATTTACTATTGAACTATTCAGGTAGAATTTTATTATAAAAATTTGATGAATTTAATGAAGTTACAAAAACAAAATCCGAAAATATAGTAATGGTGAAATAGATCTGGCCGCTAGACAAATCTAAGACGTGAAGACGCGCAGTCTGATCAGGATCCATGCTGTTCGCTATCAGTTTCTCTACTTGTAATAGGGTTTGTAAGCGAACAGTATGGATCCTGATCAGACTGCGCGGATGCGCAGGCTGGTCTGGATCCATGCTGGTCGCAAACCCATTATGTTGGTTTTGTCGTGACGCGGCTCATATATAAAAACAGGACAGATAGGAGGGAACTTGGGAAATAAAAGTCTTGTTCACAAGATGTTTAGATATGAGCACCTTCTCTCCTGTCACTAGCACTGAGGGCTCCAGAATTTACTATTTTATATTAAATGTTGAATTCTGCTTAAGTCGGTGCTAGAGGACATGGACGGTAGCTTGCAATTACCACTACTGCCAAAGAACAGGCTCAAACAAACTTAGTCGGCAACATTTTCAATTTCGCAGTGTTGATCTCCCTGCAGGGATTCTGCTTTTCTCTATTTCTTTGTTTATGAGATTATCAGAAGAAATTTTCTGATGTAGTCAATTTGCTTTAAGAATTATTCTAATTTAGATAGGCATATAGCAAATATTATTTAATAACTAATAATAAAATTATATTTGTTTAGATTTTGATGATCGATTCTTAAAAAATATTTACTGATTATCTGATTTATTACAATTTATAAAAAATACATACAGAGAATACGTCAAACAATTCACAACATCGGCGTATGGAAATTGTTACACACTGGATGACAAAAAGTTTCAGTCATGGAGGAGCGGACCTGAAAGTGGTAAAATGTTATATATCAATAAAAAATTGCGTGTAAAATTCCAGACCATTCGTTCCCTCCGTCCGTTATTTCAGAATTATCATTTCATTTGCGCAAAATGACGTAAACGCTTAACAAACGTTTTATCTAAAATCGTGCTAGATATCAATTTTCAGTTGTTTTTTTTTTTATACATTTCTCTATTTGTTTTTCATATTTCTCCATTTTACTCGTAAGTATCCCGTTTATCTATGTAAGATTTTAAAATTTTGTTTGTTTTTAGGCTTTTGCACTTTTCTTAGTGGAGACCCTGTAATGATTATATGGCATTACACAAAAAAATAAACCAGTGATCACATTATGTACAACACTAATTTATGTAATGATCATAATTTATTTACTCCTGTTTCAATATATCTAATTATAATTTTCTTCTGGTCATACACAATGTTTCTAAAATCTGATTTCAGGAATAAAACTGACATTGAACCTTGAAATCGATGAATACGTTGAAAGATTTTCCTCGGGGTATGGAGTCCGAATCGTGTTCCACGAACCAGGTACATACCCTATGCCAGTTGAAGAAGGTCTTACGATCAGTGCAGGATTTGAAACAAGCATTGGTCTGAGGGCAGTGAGTATGACTAAATGTTTTACATTTTATTATTTCAATAATTCGATTAGAAGTTGGATAGTCTGGCAAGACGCATATTTATATCAAATCTTAAGAATAAATTTGCACATTAAATAAAGAATGTTTTGTTTGCAGTAAGCAGAATTATAGTTCATTAGAGGTTAATAAGATGATCTAACGTATTCGATCTCATCAAAATATAATTTTCAGCTAATGCTATGGACGATGTTATATTTTAAGATACATGTATAATATGCTCAAATTTGGTGTTTGAAAATACTGATAAATTCTGTATACTCTTTTTTAATGTAAAATAAACATCTTTTGAATAGAGAAGATATGTTACATTTTAAACACTACACTATTTGTAAACACATTATGAATACATAGTGTCACTGGAAAAAAAACCTGACAGTCTTTCAAGAAAGGGTCCAATTATCTTGACCAGTAATAAGGAATGCAGCTTCCAAAATATAGTTTCTGCAATCTCTTATTCCCATTAGGTATATTCTGCAAGAATTTCCTAGATTTCAATAATTTTTTGCAAGATAAGCTTTGTTTGTATATCTTTTAACTCCCAACATTCCTATTTTCTGATCTAGATTAACGTAACACGTCTAGGGGAGCCTTATGGTCATTGTACAGTTCAAGGTGGTGAAATGTTCCGGAAGAAATATAATCTCACTTACAGTAAAACGGTAATCAGTTTCACAAGATACATTTAAAGTGTTAACAGAATTGGATGAGGAATCTTTTTTAGATATTCGAAGTCAGCCGCTTTCTCCCGAGCTAAAGAGAAAATGAAAGAGGTTTTATTAAAGTACATGTACTAGATATTCTGCGTTCGCGCAGTCTGGTCTGGATCCATGCTGTTCGCTTACCAACCCTATTACAAGTAGCAAAACTGATAGCGAACAGCATGGATCCTGATCAGACTGCGCGAACGCGCAGGCTGGTCTGGATCCATGCTGGTCGCAAACCCATTATGTTGGTTTTGTCGTGACGCGGCTCATATATTTTACTTGAAGACAAAAAGAGAATGTATAAGACTAATTATCATAACAAAGAGGTTAAAGTTTTTCCTATTCAGTGCTTTCATAATCAGAGTTTTCTTCATGAACGGAATATAAATTAGAAATAAATTGTCCGTGGTAAAATAGAGTAAAACGAAATCCATGAAGAACAACGCACTAACTGTCAAAATTGAAAATGTTGTAGGCCCGGTTTGACTGATCCAGTTCATGGACAGTGTAGCAACTGCACCCCTAGCACCGGTTTAAGCAGAATTCATCAGTTAAACATGTAAATGGTGTAAAAGTTAAAGTCAGGAACAAAGTGCAGTAGAAATTACTATTTATAATCTAAGTTTGTCATGGACATCTAAATAAAACAAACAAAATGTCACTATAATTTTATTGAGTACTGTTTTTTTCCAACAGGCTTGTCTGGAGTTTTGTCGAATAGAAAACGTTATAAAGACGTGCAATTGTTTACCCATTGATGCACCTGATCTGAACTTTGGGAAATATCTAGATGTATGCAGACATCAAGGTAATATTATTCGGAATTCTCCATTGTTTTATTATTATTATTATTATTATTATTATTATTATTATTATTAATTAATTAATTAATTAAAGCTACTTAAATACGTATGTATACTAGCTTTTACAAAACATTGTAATAAGAGACCTTTATTCCATTTACAGATGAGGTGTGTACGTTTGAAGTAGAATTGATGTTCGAAAATGGAAGTCTAAACTGTGACTGCATCAACCCATGCTCGTAAGTTAAAACATTCTATTCTTTTTTTCTATTCTAAATTCTATTCTATTCTTATTCTATACTTTTTCATGATTCCACATATACAGACTCTATCAAACAGAGTATTCAATTTTCATGTAATTTTGCTATATTTGATGATTCCGAGGGATCATTTTTTTTCCAGATATTTAAACACGTTGCCTTCTTCAGATATAAGAAAGGTATTTTAAAATTATTGAAAAATATTTAGATCTCTATTCATACTATGTATAACCGCATCCTCAATGTTAGCTGCAATACTGGTATCATCCGTAATATGATCCGCACTGGCGAATAAATTAATCTTTTTATTCTATACGTTAATATCTTTGATTATTAGATTTTAGATTTTATGGCATTTTCAAAGTTAAGGTTTCAGATGTCGATGGATCATATAGATCGAATATTGAATTTAGTTTTTGATTTTCCATGCCTATATTTGTATTGTACTATTAGAATCTATTAATATAATAAATGGTTTCAGAGAGTTTGTGTACGGGAAGACAATCTCTGGACGACTATGGCCTCACAAAGACTATTTGGTAGAATTCTTTTGATATTATACTTTCAATATAAACTTTAAAAATTGGAATGCAAAACTTGCAATTATGTACATTGTATTCATGTTATATTTTTATTTCTTGATTTTTATTTTTTTTGTGTGTGTTTTTTTTCTTTATAATCAAAATATACAGAAGATATTACAATGTTTAGCACTGATTCTAACATAAGAACATATAAATTTTGTCATTAATCATTAAGTCATTTATTAGTTCGAAAATCGAAAACTATTGTGCATGAAAATATTTAAATTTCAGGAAAAGATTCTGATGAAGGACATATGTTCGAAGAAGCTAACATCGTTAGAAACACCGTGTAGACAGATTAACAATGACTCTGAGAAATTTCATTATGACAGGTGAGCGTACAATTAATTCATTTTGTCTGACACTGAATATATTTGTTTCGTTTACATCAGAAGATACTTTATAAATGAGCCGCGTCACGACAAAACCAACATAATGCGTTTGCGACCAGCATGGATCCAGACCAGCCTGCGCCTCCGCGCAGTCTGATCAGGATCCATGCTGTTCGCTATCAGTTTCTCTACTTGCTATAGGGTTTGTAAGCGAACAGCATGGATCCTGATCAGACTGCGCGAATGCGCAGGCTGGTCTGGATCCATGCTGGTCGCAAACCCATTATGTTGGTTTTGTCATGACACGGCTCAAATATAATCATTAAAAGTGGCTTCTGGAAATTGTTGGATGTAACGTTGTATAAAAAAAGAACACTATATTAGTATGAGTATCCATTTCAATGTGTGCTATTTTAATTTGCTCATTGCTTTCATAATGTAGAGGGAAATAAAAAAATATTTTAAAAAATGTTTTGTTTTTTATACTATAAGATACATAATTGCACTAAGTTCTATAAACTTTTGAATCAACATTTCCTTTAATTCATGGTGTAGAATAAAATCGAAGCATTGTTGTTAAAACATGAAAGTAATTAAAATAGTTGTTTTAATCATTGCGCATTTCTTGTTTTCCTATTACAGGTATAGAAACAACTTTGTGAAGGTGGTGATTTATTTCGAGGATCTCAATTATCAAAAGATAACAGAGGAGCCATTTTATACAGTAAGTAGTCTTGTATCCTTTTTTTAATTCATTAACTTGAATTTCATTTATATTTCATACTGGTTATAATTGGTTTGATAAAAACAATGCAAATGTTAATGCCTATATTGACGTAATGATGGTTTCTACAAAAACCGGGCTACACTGTACAATATTGAATATTGCAGCTTTAAAACACACACCTGTATGCAGTAAAATTAATTGTTGTGGTACGACATCAAGGGGAGTCCAACCATAATAAAATATTATTTAATGTAAAGTCATTGTGAATTTTCTACTCGCAGTCACTATTGACGAACATTTATTTTAAAAGTATTTGACTTTTCCCCATGTTTGTAGAATATATTTATCAATTATTTTGTTATATTTGTAGACAGTACGGTTCATCTGTGACATCGGGGGAGCAATGGGTCTGTTCATAGGAGTATCTGTACTTAGCATGTTTGAAATTCTACAGCTGATATTTGAAGTCATCATTTACTTTCAAGACAGGAAAAAAGATGATACAGAAACAGAAGAGCTAAATAACGAAAAACAAAATCTCGAAATGAACTGCTGAAAATTAAACGGAAAGAATTCAGTCAGATCATCCAACAAAAATAGGAATTCATTATAGACCTTTTTACAATACGATTTTTTTTTCAATAGTAACAAATGTTGTATTTCGCGCATACGCATTCTGCATGGGGCAAAACGCAATAACGATGACTACAATTTATCATATTTAAAGGTTTTATTAGACGTGATTTCAATTTATGACTCCAAGAGAACAATTTTTGTATGACTTAAAGCAGTAAGTTACTTAAAACGTGAATTGCATATGTAGCAGATATATACGAAACTATGAGGGACTAATTAATAATTCAATGAAAAAAAAGCGCATAAACAATTAAAAGTCCTCATTTTTCAGATATCATTTGAGGTCTCTTCCATCAGACATTTAAATTGATATAGCAGGGTGTTAAAGATTAAAGTTTATAACCCCTGTATTACATAATATTGCACAGTTTGTATAGTACACTTCCTTTGACAAAGTGGACTGGCACGTGACCGGTTGTTTATTTCCAGCTAGTTTACAATATATCATTCAATCGGGAGTTTAAGCGCTGTTACACCGCACTTTGGGGTCAAACGCACTTTGGGGTTTGAACCCAAAGTACGTAACACTGGTGCATATGCATTTTTTCAATATCAGGCAGACGACAACACTTTGGGGTCATAAAATTATAGATATTTTAAAATGATAGTTCAATTGTGAGCTAACGATAACAGACGATAGGTTATTGTTATACCTAAGTTATGCAGTTTGCAATTTTACAATGCATTATTAATGTGTTTTATATTCAATTATTTATCTCATGGAATGGTGGCGTCCCAGTATAAATATGTATGATGCGTATTGATTGAAATAAAACATTAGATAACATATTGTTTCATGAACTAGCGGTATGTGACATTAATTTTATAGATTGCATGTCACGCATATTTCCATATAATAAGAAACAAGTTCCTTACACGATAGGAATTAATGTTGTGGACCCATTAAAAATCTGGATTTACCTTATTTCCAGTTATCTGAAAGGAAGATAACATGTCTGAATTAATTAGTTATACATGTAGTTCTTTCTATGTTGAATATTGTAGATTGTAAAAAAATTAGGCTGGGTCAAATTAAGCATTTAAGATGACTTCCAAGATGAATGCCATATCATAAGAATTTAATTTCATACTCAATAAGATCATAAGTGCATATTTAGATGAAATACACGTTAAGGCAGGAATATTTTTCAAACACTTTTATAGTAATTTTAGGAAAATACGAAGGTCATCTCGTCTCGGTAGCTCGCTACTTTCCGACCGAAATTTGACAACATCTCAGATCTTGATGATTTTTGGTATACAGACATGTAGATATGTAAGCTTTACTTCTGCAGCATTATTTTATAAATAAACAGTGTAACTATGACGTCAAAGCGCCCTCTATCGGTGACGGCGAAATTGCGTTTTTTATCAATAATCAAGTCTGTTCAGATCAATTTTCATCAAATTTTCTTCGTTTTCATTTTAAAATGTTCAGTAAATGTATGTCTTTGTAATGATGTATTTCTTTAACATTTGCATAATAGTTTTCTAAGTTATTTTCCCCCACGTTCTGACGTCCATATATGATGCAAATATCGCGCGATATCGCAATAAAGATTGTGAAATAACAGAAAATCAACACGGTGAATTTTGCTATAATTTTTTAAACATGTAGTGAAGTCATGAAAGAAAATATTTATGCAATAAAAATATAGGGTCAACGCGTAAGATATTTTGCTATTACTATTTGAATATAAAATAAAGGGTGAGTAAAACGTTATGATTTTGGTGACGTCAAATATTTTTCTCAAGGAAATTTTCACGACTTTTTCAATAAATATCATACTGTCAGGAATAAAAATGTTTGAAAACCATCAACAACAATAGTATTTAGATATGCTCCGTAAAAAATGTTCTTTTAAAAGTCTTGTCAGGTGTCTGCATTTCGAAGAATAACTTCAATTATAAACATGTACAACAACTTAGGGTATGACTGTCTGCAAAAGTTGGTATCAATCTCTGAAAACTACAACGAATGGTTATAAATACCTCGAGGACTGAAGGACACTTGAGAATATTGAAAGATATAATTAAAATGCCACCTAAGTGGAAATAATAAAAACATAAATTTTGCAAAGAATGTCAGAAAAAAAAGAATGAAAAGGCTGGTGCAGTGTATCTCGGTACTACATAAACTTCCATGTTATCATATGTAACAATTTTGAATTAACAATTTTGAATTGTATAATTATATTAGTTAGTAGGAAATGAATCAAATTTACGTTTCAAAAATGTATGATCAACTGGAAGTAACAACAGTTTGTACGTAAGTGATGATTCACTGGTAGTCTTAATTATATTATAAAATCTAGCAGACATTTAATATAAAAATTTATTTATTAACAGCCATCAGTTATTCTATTTTCTCACGCAGCTAAATACTAGTAATTTATATTCCTGCACTAAGCGTGAGACTCAGATTTAAGTATAGGTTAGTGTTTAATAATATGTATTAACAAAAATAATTGGTCAAGCCTGTCTGCCGTATTTCACATAATTACAGATACCTTATTTATTTTAAACTCGGTGACTCGCGGTATGCGTTTACTAGCGACCTGAAGCCGCGATTCGAGGCGAAAGTTCCGTTGATTTATTTTGTATGTCATAGTTCATAAGCGGAGAATTTTGCATATTAAATACAGTTTCCCTTGTATTGAAGACGTACATGTAGGATCCTCAATTTGTGAGAATATGGTTGTGAGAGAAGCTCGTTTTTTTGTCTGCACATAATGCGGTGCTATGTAGAGCGTATGAAAATAATGAACTATGCATTTTATGTTTTATATCTTCTTATTTTTTTAATATTGGGTTTAACGCCGCTCAATTATAGCGGAGAGAATTTAACAAAACCAGTGTTTCTCACAGTATCAACTTCTCTTTGGAAATGAATGACAGGAGTCCGAGATGGACATTTCATACACAGTAACCAATTCTAAAGGATAATCTATTAGTACAATACGCAATCGTGTCTCGAATCCATGCCATCCGAATTGGGCGTAAGACCACTTTACCGACTACACCGTGGCAACAGAAGAATAATACATTAATCGTATTCAGTGGTAACAAAAGTTGCACAAGTTATTTAATAATTATATTTTGTATTAAATTAAAACATACAGTATAGCCTCTACAGAGAAATGCCCTTTGTTGCCTAAAGTGGTTGCTCTACAGAGGTAAAATGTAGTGGAACTCTTTAGAAATAAACAATAATTTGAGGGCGGCTATGTTATACTGTAATGAAAAAGCGGTAAGTATATAGGTATACGTAAATCCGAGTTGAGTAATGGTTATATTGGGTGTTCGAGTCTGCAGTTGCGAATATGCTAATATATTTTTTTTATTCAGTATGATTTTTGCTTCCAAAGTGTTTTATAGTTTGTCACATAAGTGCTCATTTTCTTATTATAAGACATTTTAATTACATTATAATTATATAATCTATGTATTGCACATACATTTGTTTGTTTGTTTGTTTTATTTTACGCCCTTTTCCAACAGTATTTCAGTCATATAGGCGGGTAGTTTCCTAACCATCGTTCCTGGAGAGTTACACCAGTACTAGACTACCTTCCTCCGCGCTAAACTACCAAAGCATCTCCCGGGGATCGAACCCACGCCAGAGAGGTACCTGGATTAGAAGTCATCGACAGACATAAAAATGGTAAGCAAAAATAAAAATAAAATAAATGATTTTATTTCTTGTACAGTTTGTTTTTAAATTTTCTTAACATATTTGAATATTATTTCTGAATTTTATTTATCATTTATTTCGGCACATTTGTATGCATATCTATTTTAATTGCATTTTTACGATGTGTTTTGACACCGAGGCTCGTCTGCCTGTATGTGATTTTATGAAAGTGTTTAAAAGCTGAATGTTACGTAAAATAAATATTCTAACGGATATAAGCTAAGTACGGAGCCCCTAAGGTGACATTTTCCACACTTTTTTCCCCGGAATTTAATTCGTTTTTACGAAATAATAATTCGTAATTACGAAATAATAATTCGTTTTTACGAAATATTAATTCGTAAATACGAAATATTAATTCATTTTTACGAAATATTGATTCGTTTTTACGAAATATTAATTCGTTTTTACGAAATATTAATTCGTAATTACGAAATGTTTATTTCGTAATTACGAAATATTAATTCGTTTTTACGAAATATTATTTCGTATTTACGACATATTATTTCGTAATTACGATATATTTATTCGTAATTACGAAATATTAATTCGTTTTTACGAAATATTAATTCGTTTTTACGAAATATAAATTCGTAATTACGAAATGTTTATTTCGTAATTACGAAATATTAATTCGTTTTTACGAAATATTATTTCGTATTTACGACATATTATTTCGTAATTACGATATATTTATTCGTAATTACGAAATATTAATTCGTTTTTACGAAATATTATTTCGTAATTACGAAATATTATTTCGTAATTACGAAATATTAATTCGTAAAAACGAAATGTTATTTCGTAATAACGAAATAATAATTCGTAAATACGAAATAATATTTGGTAAAAACGAATTAAATTTTTTCTAGCGTTTCAAAGAGTTTTTGTAATAGTTATAAATAAGGCCTCAAAACTAAATTCCTGACTTAATATAAGGCATGTACATAGAATATAAAGAGTGATTTTTGTTCTCCCCAAGTTTTTTAACTTTACACTATTGTACATACATGTAAATTAAAATAATCGCATGTCAATAGCGTTGAGCCACAGCCGTGATAGTACACGCGCTAGGAAAATTTAGTTAAAATGGGGGTCCTGTGCTTCAAATCCAAACACGGACATTTCTACTAATAAATTGTCAGGAAATGTTCATTTTAAATTGATTAGATTAGTGAAAGTCTGCACCAACCCCCCATCCCCCTCGTCCCATTAGTTTTACTTATGTATATGATAAAAGAACAGAATTATATAGCATGTTTCTGTTTTAAAGATACATTACGTAAAAGATTGCCTCAAACATTAAAGCATTGCTGATAGGAACATGTATTTGACAATGGGGAAATAAAGACCATTTTGGATAGAGAATGACTTCTCACTAAAAAACCCTGTTCACTTAAATATAATAACTTGAGAACCATTCGGCTTATAATCGCAAAGTTGATCAAGGCATGTAAATGACCCATTTGTGAGATTGATAGGTTCTTTATCAAGCTCAAAATGACCTTAAATAAGATTTCGTAAAAACGAATTAATATTTCGTAATTACGAAATAAAATTTCGTTTTTACGAATTAATATTTCGTAATAACGAAATAATATTCCGTAATTACGAAATAACATTTCGTAAAAACGAATTAATATTTCGTAAATACGAATTAATATTTCGTAAAAACGAATTAATATTTCGTAATTACGAAATAATATTTCGTTTTTACGAATTAATATTTCGTAATTACGAAATAATATTTCGTAAAAACGAATTAATATTTCGTAAAAACGAATTGATATTTCGTAATTACGAATTAATATTTCGTAAAAACGAATTAAATGCCGGGGGGGGGGGATGTGTCGAGAATGTCACCTTAGGGGCTCCGTAGCTAAGCGACCTAATATTCTTACTCCATTCATACAATATGTGAATCTTATTTTTTGCGCTGAAACTATTTAATTCATATAATAATATAACACTTTTCACTCTTTCATTACAAACATCAAATTATAAAATTAAAATTAAAAGATGTATGAGACTGTGTCCTGCAAATTAGAAAAGTATTTAAAAAGGCATTGTCGGATTAAACATTGTAAATGTGCTCATCTAGCGCATGCTTTCAATGAGAAAATAATCAACAATTTAAAAAATATACATTTCATCAAGTCCCTGTGTTGTTTATACTTACTATCGTAATGTTTGACGTAAGAAAATTGTT